TTTTTATTCATTTATTTAAACGTATCGTTTATTAATTAACAGCCGCGAAGTGAAAATCGAACATGTGTAACAAATTATTAAATTACATCTGGAAGCAAAACAAGCCAATTAAATCAATTAGAAATGGAAAATATTTTAAGAATCGATAATTGAAAGGTATTTCAGAAATAAAGAAATTCAATTTGTTAACCACATATGCCTTTCGTATTAATTAGTACTGCTTTATTTATCGACCAATTAAAAATCATCAATAATTAAAATAAACATTGTCGCAGGCTATTTCTTTTAACAGATATTAATAGTAATAATAATTATAGTGGTTAAGACACTGAATTAATAAAATAATAAATCAACATACAATTTTACAGTTAAATGTGTATATTTATTGCATTGTCCAGCGAAAAAAGACTAAATAAACTTCCATGAAAGTATTTGTAAAAAAAAAACACTAAACTTTTTATGAAATTAAATAGGTATTTCGCTTCGCCGACGAACAACAACTACGAGCCCCTTCCCATTTCAGTTGGCCCACCTTATAATTTTTTAGAAATTTGTCCTTTTGTTACAAAATAAAAGTACAACCTGAGCTTTTTTAAAAAAAATTATTTACCTACATAATTAAACTCTATTTACCAAAATATATATCTACGTAAAAACCGATAAATTTATACAAAATGAGAACAAACAGAAAAATATTAACAAGAACAGAACATTCAAGAAAAAACAGTTTCAATGTTTACCACTGGGTAACATCGCCTTTATTTTTTATAACTGCCGAAATTCTTTGTGGCATAGTATTAACCAAGTCTTCACAAAATTGTGGTGTAAACGAATTCCATATCTCCTGAAGCCTTTCCTTTAATTCAGGGATTGTTCTGGAAGGATGTGTCCGCAACACTTTTTTCATCGCATGCCACAATGTTTCGATCGGAGACAAATCGGGGCTACTGGAAACCCATTCCAAAAGTGGTACGTTGTAATCTTCCATCCATTTTAGTGCTTTTTTTGAAGTGTGGCATGCTGCGCCATCCTGTTGGAATACAAAATCTTTCCCTGATGTCAAATATTTCTCCATGACCGGCAACAGCGATTCTTCTAAAATGTCTAGATACTTTTCCGTATTTACAATTCCTTGGATAAAATGGAGTTTTCCTACCCCTTTGGATGACATGCTGCCCCACACCATGACTGACGCAGGAAATTTGACTTTTTTCTTTAAACAGTCCGGATGGAAGGCTTGATGTTTTTTGCGAATTACTCTACTTCTACTGTCCCCAACACACACTTCAAATCGGGACTCATCGCTCCACTCTACTGCACGCCATTGTTGAGATGTCCAAGATCTATGTTCTGTAGCCCATCTTAATCTATTTTTCTTTTGCCGTGGAGTTAAAAGTGGCTTTTCTTTGGCCTAAAACAAAATTGTCAGTTGTAAACAATTTTACAAAAAAAAAATATTTATTATTTTTATCGTTAAAAATGTTACCTTATAAGTGCCAAATCCCAGTTTGTGGGCCTCCCGATGACATGTGGATCTCGAAATGCGCCTTCCAATAGCATCACTCCATAGAGCACTTAGGTCTAAATAATTGGAACGTCGATTCTTTACAATAATTCTTAGTAGCGCTCTTCTATCTGCATCTGTAACGTTGCTTTTTCTCACATATCTAGGCTTTGTAGTGACTGAACCGGTAGTTTTGTATCTTTTAACTATGTTTCTTACACTATATCTCGACAAATCTAACAAATTTGCAATTTCCGAATTTGATTTTCCAGAATTGGCAAATTTAATAATAATTGAACAAATTTTCTCATCGATAATCTTTCCTCTACCCATTTTCACGATAACAACTAACCATAAAATGTAAAAAATACATTCTGACAGTTCCATAGTAGTTTGTCTTGGCTTAAAATTTCCAAAGCCACCGTCGATATAATATGTTTATTTTGTAATACAAGTCAAATGGGTTTTATTAAAAACTAATAAAAACTTCGTTTCGAAATATTTTTGATTTTTCGTTAAAAATTCTAAAAGGAAATAATAAAGTGGGAGTTTTTCTATTTGATATTATTAAAAATATACCCTTTTATGACATTATGACCTAAAATATCATGTATTATTTATTATTATATCATGGTGCTTAAAAAATTAAGATTTTAATAGTTGGGCCAACTGAAATGGGAAGGGGCTCGTATAGCATATAGTTTTAACCTCTAATATGGTGCCCAACATGGGCCTTTTTTTTAAACAAGCTAGGGCTATTTTTTTTTAAAGAATTATCTACAAAATGGAGTATAATAACAGATTTTAGTTACTTTTTAGATGTATAAATTTTAAATAAAAACGTTTCTCTACTTTATTTGTATAATAATAGATTAAATTATTCTTAATACGAGTCAGTATATTAATACGTATCATTATAAATTCGTATCCTCTTAGGAATCCATTTGCTGCTTCACTGAACGAAAGAATTGTTCCTCATAACTGGTTTTATTAGAGATGTCAATCTGTATCTATAAGGAAATACCGTTAATACACTGTATTATCATTAAAGGAATCACAAAATGAGCTATAAACAGACTGACGGCCGATGATTTATTACTTTTGCGATAAAATCAGTAATATGACTAATATTAAAGTTTCGAGCAGTTATTTTTATACTTTAAATATTATTTCTTTCAGCTCAAAAAATTGTTGAAATTGAAAATCAAAAAAATGTTTTGAACAAAAATAAGATTCCATAAAATTACAAAATGATTTGGCGTAGGATACCTGGAATCCACCGCCCGATCGTATATATTGTTTGACGGTTGTTTTTTTTTTATTTGTAGAAGGAAAAAACCGGACCTTGTCCAAATTTGAAATTTCAACACCGTTTGTTCGAAAGCTTGCCTCATTAGTATTGAGTGTCTGAAAGATGTCGCCAGATATGTAATTAGCATAAATATGCCGTTCCAAACACCTTTTCTGCAACATAGCGACTCATGCGACATTGATCATGCACAGAACTGGTCTAAGCACAAGCAGCGTCTATACTTCGGCCCCGATATTGACTGTATCTTGTTGGCGCAAAATAATTTTCAATTCTTTACAAGAACAGAGGAAACTTAAAAAAATTTATATTGAATTTAAAAAAAAATGAAATGTAAATCGAGAGACGCTAAAATGGTGGTTCCCACCTTATCGAGACTGAGGCCCACAAGGGTAAACTCGTAGCGTAACAAAAATGAGAAATTATTTAACTTGGAACGAAATACCGAAAGCCGATAGTAGTTTAGCACGTTGAATTTTTTGGTTTGTGAAGCATTGGCATTACTTAAGTTAAACCATATGATGATTTTCACAAGCCGTGATTTTTAGAACCATTCTATATCGCCTTTTGATTAGGGTTTAAAAACTTGTTCGAGCAATTTATCCAATAATAATTAGCCCCTTTACCTCTTAAGCCTGCTCATGTAAAATATTTGGGCTCCTTACTTCGCCTATTTATATTCTATTAATAAAGGACAGAAGGATGAGTATTGCAACTATGTTAAAAGATATAAATTGGCTTTCAGTTCAGAATTATGTTTAGTACATGACTGATATTTATTTATAAAATAAAAATGACAGCACCATCGCATCAGATCTATTAGAAAAAATTCAATATAATTCGCAATATCACAACTATAATACAAGAAGCCAATCTGACTTTCATGTACGGTAAGCCATCACCAAAAGTTCCCAAAATACAATTTTTATTAAAGGTTTAAAAAATTTAATAGACTACCTAAAAATCAAAACCGCAAGTCAATCAGAACTTTCGTTCTAGAGTTATCGTGCCGGCATACATACATACATACAGACGACCAGACGAACATTTATTTTTTGGATTTTCGGATTCTGAATGATCAGAAACATGAAAAAAAGTTTTAAAAAATGGGGGTCAGAAAATTTTTAGAATAGCAGTAAAATTAGTAGATGCAAATTGTAACCCCGGGGTACCACAGATACTAATAAATTTTATATTACAAATAAAGTAATTTAAAATATGTTTTTTATGTTATTATTTAGAAATCTTAATAATTCTCTATTATACCTACGCTTAATATTGTCTAAAATAGTATATATTTTATCACTTGTCAATTTTTTTTCGTAAAACTAATAAAATGTCGTAAAATCGTTTTTATTAAAAATCCACAGCGGGACACTTGTAAAACATCATTATTAACATTTTCAAATAAATGTCAACCGCTAATTGATTATTTAAATTTTTGCTTGTCCGAACAGAAATTTATAAATAGCATCAATGTTTTTTTAGAGTTTATTGTCAGTCGATAAAATATTTCTGATAGGTTGGTGATTATAATGTTCTCAGACACTTTAAAAAAAATACTTTTTATTTTCTGGTATGTAAGTTAAAACCGACAAGTTAAAATTTTACAAAAATGGACAAATATAGAACATAATATTTAAGCACCCAGACAAGTACATACCCATAAATGTATAAATAAATTATTGTTATCATCTAAATTCCTTAAATTTCCAATTAACAGAACTCATAAGTAAAGTAACACTAGATCATGAATATGCAACATGTCTGACTAGTCAATTGGTTGTCGTTAAATTTTATTCATAAATGATAAAGACTGACGATAAGGATAAGCAAAGTCACTTTGAAAATTATTAGAATTTGTGACCAACGCGGCGTGAAATTATCATTCATACATTGTTAAATAATTCCCCTAAAGCTACTTATGGTAATATTAAATAAATGTAGTAAAAATTGATATCATGAAGTTCATTGGAAAAGCTATTTTTAATTTTTCGCAGAAAACGACAAAAAGAGTCAATAAAAAATGAGTTTCTACCAAATGGCGCCCAACGTGGGAAATCCGCTGCAAAAACTAACATTCCATTTTTGTGGAAAAACAAAACAATATCAAATACATTCATAATACAATTTTGAAAATTATCGAATACGAGAATTCCACATTCTTCAAAATTTATTTGTACTTACCAAAGGCGAATAAAAAGCCGAGCTTTCAACTCCTATGCTGGGATACGGGTTCTGGTCGGTGGAAGGGTAAGGGGTGCCATACACCCCGACGCTGGCGTTTCGGTACTGCAACGCTGCCAACCTGGCCGAATCGTACTGGCACGAACACACGCTTTGACCAGTGACGGGGTCGGTCACCAGAGGTCTCCCCGATTCACAACATTGCGTCGGGCCGGTCGACGAGGTGCCTCCGGGCGATAAAGCTCCCGGAATTCCCGCTGATCCGCCGGGACTGAGAGAACCGCCTCCTGATACCGGAGAGGAACCCGAGTTCGTAGTCGGTTGGCCTGATACCAGCAGCTGAAATAAAGTTTAGTATTAAGTTCTGGTTAAAGAAATCTGTATAACTTAAAAGAGCTTAAAATTTCGAATTTCCCCAGATCTGGGGAAAACAGGATGGCAAAAGCGCAATAATTATTATTGTCGAATAAAATAGAATTCCCGACTTTTTCCCAAAATCCATTCATTTTAAAATTGACTGGCAAATTTTGCGGTTAGCATCGGCCAAATTTTGCAAAACCTGTTGAATTTAAATAAGACTAAGTTTTCGACGTTCCCCAGATATGAAGAAAAAAGAATGGCTATATCGCATAACCTATTATTTTCAAATAAATATGAAATTTTGACATTTCTCAGGTATGGGGAAATAAGAATGATAGCAACGCAGAACCTATTATTTTAAATTAAGCCTGAAATTTTGACTTTTCTCGAATTTGGGGAAGAAAAAGAATTGTAACAGTACAAAACCTATTATTTTCAAATAAGTTCAAATATGCCTGATATTTTTATTTTCCCCACATTTAAAAAAAAGAATGGCAACAGCACAAAATCTATTGTTTTCAAATAAGCTTGAAATTTCTACTTTTCCTAGATTTGGGAAAAAACAGCAACTCAAAATCTATAATTACATATCAAATTAGCCTGCAATTTTGACTTTCTTCAGATTTGGAAAAGAAAAGTGAAATGCAACAACGCAAATACTGTAATTTTTTGCAATTTGAGGATGGCGGTATTAGAAGAATTTAGAAACGTCGCCAGTTACTATTAGAACGTCTCAAAAAAGGTATCATAGAAATTTGGGGGAAAATCTGCACGTTTTGGGCAAATTTAGCATTTTGTAAACGCTTTATTTTCCTCGGATGTGGGTTAGAAAGAAAATGGCAACACCGTTAAAAATGTTTCCCAAGCGTTAACGTCATCAGTTCCTATCAGTTTATTTCAAAAGGTATCTTAGAAATTCGAGAAAAATCTGTATGTGTTTTGGAAATTTAGCAGTTTTGCAACGTTTTATTATTCCCTTATCTGGTGAAAAATTATTTACTTTCTATTTTAGAGTAATAATTAAACTAGTTTCATGCAGATTTATGAATACGTACTGATAATCACGATAAAACAAAAAAAATGAATATGGCGGATTCTGATCTGATACCAACAGTTGAAAAAGTTTCATATTAGGTTCTGGATAAAGAAATCTGCAGAAGGTAATGCTGCAAATTTTTCTAAATCTGGGGAAGAAATAATGGCAACAATGCAAAACAGTAATTTTTTCCAAGCGTTAACATCGTCTGTTATAGAAAGTATCTTAGAAATTCGAAGAAAAATTTGCAGTTTTGCGACATTGCCATTGTTCGTTTTCTGTGAATCTGGGGGAAAATGACTTACCAGCATCACGCAGAATTATTGTAAATACGTACTAGTAATCATGACTAAACAAACAATAAATTAGAATAGTCAGATCTAGGTGTAGATATCTCGGACCTAACTAGATACATTATACATTTAAAATGAAATCAATTTAAATGTTTGACATTATAAAACAATGCCATTACATTTACATAATTGAAAAAGTTTGATCCACGAGATTATATATTTAATTTCGTATGTTGCAAGTTGGTTTACTAATTATCAATTATGATTCGTGTAATAAGAATTTGATTAAAAAAAAATGAGAGCTTGTATAAAAATCGTCCTTGAATTTTAATGTTCTTGTTTTAAAAATCTTTATTCATCATTAAGAGTCATCTTCCAACCGATCCCTTTTTTAAAATTATCAGGGGGGTGCGGGCCGTTGCAAATTTAACACTTGGCGAAAGCGGGTCAATAGATTGTTTATTTATCAGTTTTTTTGTTAATAGATTTCAGTGCGAAGGGCGCCACATTACGGTTAGAAAAATGTTACTTGCAGAGGGTCAGGCCGTGCGCGATTAATAACTTATTTTTTGACTTTTTTGAAGATAGAACATTTTAGGACAAAGTTAAAGATTTGCAGCAGGGATATATAGAATTAGATTTTCCAAATTATTTCTTATAACGACATGATTAGGGCCTTAAAATACGTAATATTGTCACCTTTTTCTATCTTGAATAATAGCAATGTTTAAAAAAAATTAATCATTTTGTTCTTATACATCCCTAGAAATATGTTTTCTTTCATCACCTGCATAAGCTGTTTTAAGTAATTTTGAAAAATAAAGTTGTTATTGCGCACGAGCTTAACCGCTGTTTTTGGCTTAAACATTCAGGCGGAGGATGGCCCTTAAATAATAACTGTAATTGTAGAATTTATAGTATCTTTGTTAAAATCATTACTTTTTAAACATACCTGGTAGTTACACTAGGAGTAGGTATGTGTCCCAACAAAAGTATGATTTATGTAATAGCGCTAAAGAGTGTGTACCCTGTACATTATATTTATTTACTTTTTCTTGTTTCTTGCAGTAATACATACTTATACGATTGTTAACGACAAAAGTAGAGTTATTATTTAGGTATAGGTACCTACGTCACAATGTCAATTCACTTTAGCAGTAACATCACGCCTACTTCATTTCATTCCACCACAATTCCACTCTAGAGAGTCTGGAGTGCACATACTGAACCTACCAAATGTAAAACTAATATTAATAATAATTCTGAATCCCCGAGCAATTTTCGATACATTAAAGTGGTCGATGATCAATCAGCCAGCCCATTATTATCAGTGTCTCTATTCCGATATAAATAGCGAATTTGATTCTGATGAACAGATGTTTAGACGAGACTATACGTTTTATCATTCATTCCGATGTAATGTGACACAAAGTGATGGAGTGGCTTTGGAGTTCCAAATGGAAAATTAATGTACGTGTACGTCCTCTTCACATGTTCTCTTGTGTACTGTTTTCAAAACAAATAACTCTAGGAATGTTTCCTAATGGAAGGATTTAGATTAGATCCATTGCCTCGTTTTCGTATATACATATATTGATAACTAATTTGTTGATCGTTCTCGTCGAGAGTACTCGAAACGACTTAAGCCCGTTACAATTAAGCGAACATTTATGCTAATTTGAGTTTTCACCGTTAAGCACTCTGTCGAGTGTCTATATATTTAGCTAATTTTTGCTTGTTCACAATGCAAACACGATTAAAGTAAGGTTTATTTGCGAAAAATAAGATAAATTTAAATGCGACGAAATAAAAACACTCACAATTAATAAAAGTGGTGCAACAAAATCACAGATTCAGGATGAAGTATAAAGCTGTAAAGATACAGACAACAAAGTCGATACAAACAGGAAAGTCAATATAGACAACAGACGATACAAACAACAGACAGTAAAGTCGATACAGACAATAAAGTCAATGCAACAACAAAGCCGATATAGACACAGGCAACAAAGTCGATAAAAACTACAGACAAAGTCGACTAAATCAGCCCTTCATAGGATCTGTATCTGTAACATGTGGACGGTGGGTTACCCCCACGGCACTTAGGCCTCACTAGGCCCATTGTACATCCTCCTAATATGATAAGAACCTCCTAGCTCGTGAGCCAGCCTATAGATTTGATGTAGTTGACAATGTCGTTACGAGGTGCTTCTCTTATATCGGTTGGTGTTAGCCGATACTCGCCGAACACAAATCTCTGCAGAGTGCGGATTCTGACAGCCCCATATGGAGATGCTTTCGTACTTGGGAATGACCAGTCAGAATGCCTGTGACTAGGCGCAGATTCTGTCTAGGCATAGTATTTGTTTGCTGCAGTGTTGTCAGGATAACTTAAGAGCTCCCTGGCAACTCTGCAGTTTCTTGTTTCATCCCATCTTTCCTTGAATTTCACAAGGGAATGTTCTTTAATTAGGCCTGTCACTACCGATTTTGTCAGGCCAATAGAAGGGCTAGGTCCAAAAAGTATTTGGTTGGCTGTTTTCTTGGCTAGTGAATCAGCAAGACGGTTACCTTTCAATGCGGCGTGACCTTTGATCCATCTTAAGGTGACCTCATTGTTGATGGATACTTCGGCCAAAGCTTCGTGACATTCTAGTACTAACGCTAATTAAATTTGTGGTCTGTTCAGGGTGAGTAGTGCTTGCTTGCTATCTGTATAGATAAGCATGTTCCTTCCAGTGATATTGTTTCTGGTGATCAGGGCCGACTAGAAGGGGGGGGGGGGGGTAGCCGGGACTAATTCCCGGGGCCCGGACTCAAATGGGGGCCCGGCAACTGGACTTTTTTTGTTTTGTATGAGAAATTCGACACAAGACGAGAGGGGGAAGTTTTAGGTTGGGGAGCTGTTTTTTTTTAGAAAATTAAATTCAAGTGGAGGAGGAAAAGTTTTTACTTTTTTTTTTCTTTTTCTTTACTTTTTTTACTTTTTTTTTTAGAAAACGCTATTCAAGTAGAAGAAAGAGGAAAAGTTTGAAGAGCGTTTTTTTATCACGGGGCCCGATCTAGAGAATTGGCCTGGGGCATGGCCTGGCTCTCGGCGGCCCTGCTGGTGATTTCTTTTGTTGCTATGAGAATCCCCGTTATCTCTAATTGAACTACACTGGCACTATTGCTCACAGCCCATATTATGTTTAGGTTTAAAAATCTGGAGTATATTCCACATCCTGAAACTTGTTTTGTTTTAGAACCGTCGGTGTAGATATGAATGGTACCTGCCACTTCCGGCTCTTCTATTTGTTCAGTTATAACTTTATATGGCTTATGACAGATATATCTCGGTGAGATGGAGTCCATGTTCGCTTGAAGCAGTGGGAACGTATTGAGCGCCTACTGCCAAAAGCGACGTCTCGCCTCACCAGATCCTACAGGTTCTATTCCAACCATGCGGAGGCGTGTCATTTTTGTCAGAGCAACCTCCTCGATGTAAATATCAAGGGAAGTGAGACAAAGAATGACGGCGGCATTGTTCATAAGCAATGTATGCTTCTGACTGTTTTCTAAATGCGAGTTCCATGTAAACTTGCTGTCAAAGGTAACACCTAGGTACTTCACCTCTGTTGCAAAGTTTAGTCATACGATAAATCATGAGT